TTGCTGGATCCCTGGTGTTGTAAGCTATTCCTTCATTAAAATTTGCTGTTTCATATTAAGCTAGCCTGGTTATTACGCCGCCTACATTTTGGCGCCCAATGTGGGGCCCAGAAAGCCAATATTTTAAGATAGCCAGTTTTTTTTTTTTTTTTTTTGCTGCTGAGTCAGGATAATTTTTCTTTGCAGCATATCATCCATAAACAGCAAAAGCTGTGTTAAATTCTCTTTTTCTTATTTTTAAGCCTTCTCAGGTTTTTAAGTGGATTTAGCCCCCCGTTGGGCGCCACTCTGTTGTAAGGAGCAGCAGCAGGCTATATTTTGCCATCCAGTTAGCTTTATATTTGAAATAACAACATATAAATTGTATTCTTTTAAACATTGCTTGGCCTATTAGTTATAACTTCTTTTTTAAAAAATATTTATCTATTTATTTTTTTATTTATTATGTATACAATATTCTTTCTGCATGTATGCCTGAAGGCCAGAAGAGGGCACCAGATCTCATGTGGTTGCTGGGAATTGAACTCAGGACCTTTGGACCTTTAGAAGAGCAGGCAATGCTCTTAACCTCTGAGTCATCTCTCCAGCCCTAGTTATAACTTCTTATTGGCTAGCTTTTATATATTGATCTAACCCATTTCTAATATCCCTGTAACATCATCAGGTGTCTTACCAGGGAAGATCTTAACTTGCGTCTGTGTCCGGCCGGAGAATCATGGCGACTCATTGACTCAGTTTCTTTCTCCCAGCATTCTGTTCTGTTTATTTCACCTATCTAAATTCTACCCTATCAGAGGGCCAAGCAGTTTCTTTATTAATTAACCAATGAAAGCAACAGATTAGAAAGAAGTCACTCCCACATTAGTCAGGTGTCCCGGGGCCATGCAGTGACAGCTGAACTTTCTACCAGTGATCTGAGTGCTCCATTGCATAGCCTGCATTCCCTGATGCCATCTTTGGTATCCATGGGTGTCAAAATTGTCCTGATTCAGTCTTCTCTGTTTCTGGTGGTCCCTGATGATGTACCTGAGTGGTACTTCAGGTACCTATCATTCAGCTACTCTTTAACTCTCACTGTCTGGGACTTGGGTTTAGATTAGTGCTAGAGTATGGCCTTGGTGTGCACAACGTACTTCGTCTCTCTTTAATACCTGATCCAATTAACTAATGAAAAACGATCACCTGATTTTGGTATATAAATCCTTCTATTTTAATATCTCCATTGGTTTCCCAAAAGAATTTATGAAAGTATTTAAAAATAGTTTGTCAGCTGAATTTTTAGATTTCTAATTATGTGGTTTGCAAATATGTTGTTGGATTTTTGTACCCTTTCCACTGTATTGCTTACTGGCTTTCAGTGTCTTGGAGAGGAGCAGCCGCAGGAGATATCTTAGAATAGCCCTGTCACATTACAGAAGTACCTACTCATTTCTGCATACTTATGGGGCTAGGCATTGAACTTCATGAAGTACCTTTCAACCTGGATTACATTTTTAAATTGTGCATCTGTATCTATGTCTGTATGTAGGTATGTGTACAAGAGCACAGGTGCCCATGCAGGCCAGAAAAGCCTTGGATCCCCTGGACATAGCTGCAGGTGGTTGTGAGCCACCATGTGGGGACTCTGAGCTGAGCTCTAAACCATTGTGCCCTTACCAGTCCCCTGAATTACATTTTTGATGACTTGTTTTGCTTTTAGTCTATTAATAAATTTTGTGTTTATAGTTCTCAATATTAAATTTTCACTGAACATTTAGTAATGTTTTTTGCTTTTGATATTTGAATTATATACATGTATTAACATTCACAAACAGATTTTAATATTAGACTGTATATGTAAATATCTTTTGTTAAAATTGTACATGAGCTTTCCTTTGGTATACTAGCTTTTATTCTTACTGATGTTTTGTAAAGTTTTTTTTAAATCATTATATGTTTTGTACCCTTCTCTACCTTTATTATTATGGGTTAGAAGAGAATGTGGTCATCCACTGAAGTAGGCAAAGTCAACTTCTGACCATGTCCCCGGTTGACGTTTTTTTCTTGGGAAGCTTTCTGCCAATCTCTTATTTATATCTTTGGAAACTGGAATTGTTAATTGACCAAATAACCAAATTGTGATCATATATATATATATATATATATATATATATATATATATATATATTTAGAAAACTACAGCATTTATATTTTGTGAAGACATGAAAAAGGTAGCAGTTTGGGACTATGGTGGTTTCCCTAGTATGTGTCTGTGTCCTCTAGCGAGGTTTGATTTGCATGGCTCTTTGCTGTGGATTCAATTAGCCAGTGATGAGTCTGTGTTTTTTCCAAGAAAAAACTTCTAAGTTAATACTATCAGGCGGTTTTTCTGACGTAATAGCCTTAGCCTTGTCTTTCTTGGATCTTTGTGATGTTTCAGGTTCATCGTCTGTTTCAGTTGCATGACCAACAAAGTCTGTATCACTTTTGGAAACCTACCTAGGCCGTCTTTGTGACCACTTCATGGTCAGTCCTGGTACCCATTGCTGGTATTTAGGTTCCAGACCTAAATCCATGGCTCTAGATCCATGTTTTGTTTCCCATAGATATTTTCCATGTGTGAACTCAGGGAAGTGAGTGAATGTCACTAGCACTCCATTTACTTCTTACAGGTTTATATTACAGCTGTCTCAGTCTTGATAGTTTCTTATGTCTTTTTTTAGTGCAGGTGCTCTGAGTTCCAAATCCTGTAAACTGAGACCCCATCCTGCCATGTTTGTTTTTAAATTGTTTTTTAATTGTCATTTAATGTTATTCTGTATGAATATTCTGCATTTAGTTTGTGTTGTTGTTGTTGTTTTGAGACAGGGTTTCTCTGTGTAACAGTCCTGGCTGTCCTGGAACTCGCTCTGTAGACCAGGCTGGCCTCAAACTTATTGAGATCCACCTGCCTCTGCCTCCCAAGTGCTGGGATTAAAGGCGTGCGCCACCATCGCCCAGCAATTAATTTTTAAAGTATTTTTATTCTTTAAGAATTTCATATATTGTATTTTGATCCTATTCGCCCATCCTCCATCTCTGTTCATTTTCAGTCTTTCTGCAATGCTGTTTTTCACCTTGTCACATTTGATGTGCTTTCCATTTTTATTGATTCTTTTGTTTCTATGTTTCATTATATATGGTATTTTGTGTGATAATTAAGAAACTTATTTATAAATTAAATAATGTCTAAGGTAGCTTTTAAAAGCTTTTGATTGAGAATGTGGTAGAATTAGTATGCTTGGACTTCATCTTCTTCCTGACACATTTGCTAATTACAGCACCTCCATTGTTGGGGTTAATGTTCTGTCTGTTCTCTAATCATAATCATAGTCTCCATGTTCCTTTCTGTCTTAGTCCTTCAGTTAATTATATGACAGACAAAGGAAGTCTGTAAAAGTGAGCTGTCTCCTAAACAGAAAGTCTCCATCTTCCCATGGTGTAAACGCAGGGTTCCGTATAACCCCTTTCACTGGGCCCGTCTGGGCTTTCTCCAGAAAAAGGACAGAAATTCATCTTTTGACTCAAGAAGGTCCTTAAATGCTGGGTTTTCTTTTTGGCTTATTTTGTTTGTTTGTTTTTCATTTTCAAAATCATGATAAAAATTTATGTCCTGTTTTATTTCCTCTTATTTTATTTTACTTAATTATTAAGATATATTATTGTCTTTTCTTAGACGGGATATTCATGGGAAGAGTCTGATTTTTTTGCCATTGTTTTGAGGCAGAGTCTCACTCTGTTCCCTAGTCTAGCCTCAAACTTGCTATGGAGGCTTGTAGTCCTCCCTGCCCTTGAGCTCAAACTCCTGATGCCTCCTGAGTGCTAGGATTACAGGCTCTGTTCTTATCTAGATTGGCAAAGAGGGCTCTTTGAAAACCACTAGTTTATAGGGAAACAAAATGTTGATGTTTTCCATTTTTTCTTTTTTTAATGAATAAAATCAGAATATGTAGCGTTTTGTTTGAAATAAAACCAATAATAAATAATGTACAGATGGACATATACAATTAGTGAAATATTGGAGTAAGTAACTGGTTGACATAGGAATTACTATTATTGTCTATGCTTCAGGGACAGTTTGTAATGTTTCACTAATTTTTTTATTTTTAAAATACCATAACTATGTAAATCAGTTAGCACTAGTGTGTACATTTCCTTTCTGGTGATGGCATGTGTCCATGTTCTCTGTCTAGCAACCGTTCACATAATCTCACACACTCACTAGCACCATTTCCTGAGCTTTGAGTTCAAGTACTTTTTAAAAGTATTTTGAAACCCTCGATAGAGGATTATGAGATTCTGTGTTTAGAGTCTGCAGAGGAAAGGAAGAGGTTGACCCGTGTGCCCAGTGATTTGTATCTGTTAGTTGGGACTATTTTGCACCACTGTTTTTCCAAATAGTTTTTCTTAAACTAGCACCATATGCTCCTTAGTGAGTCTGTCTGAAAGGACCTGTGTATTGTTAGGCTGCCCCATCTTGGGTGATGCTGGATTGATCTTTTCCTTTAGTTTCTTTACTTTATAATTGTGTTTGATATAAAAAAGTTTTGTCTTTAAAAAATATTTAAAATATGACGTAATTCAGAAAATTGCTAATGGCTAAAAACAAACTGTTAGAAATGTTGCAGTCTAAAAAGATCCTGTCACAGATACTTCGGGGCGATGTGCCTTAGATCTAATGACTTGTGTTTCTAGTGATCTGTGAAGAGCTTGGAAATAAAACCTTTGCCTAATTTATCATTTTCTGTGAAAAAAATAGCATCATAGAGTTGAGAGCTTAAACACTTGTTTCCCCCCGTTCTTTCCCTCCTTCCGTCCCTCCCCCCCTTCTCCTCATTCTTCTCAACCTCTCTTCCTTTGTTCCTTCCATAAATATAAGTCAAGATAATAGAGGACCAAATGGCCCTCCCTTTTCTTGTTTTTACTCCTTTCTAGTTGGCATTACTGAGAAATTTCTAACTTTGTGTTTCCTCTGTGTTCAGGTATATGTCCCGAGTCCACGGTATGCATCCCAAAGAGACCACCCGTCAGCTGAGCTTAGCTGTGAAGGATGGTCTTATTGTCGAAACTCTAACAGTGGGCTGCAAAGGCTCAAAGGCTGGTATTGAGCAAGAAGGCTATTGGTTACCAGGAGATGAGATTGTAAGTCTATTTTACTTGATAAATTCAGAAATTTGGACTTTTGGTTTTCTTTGAATATTAATATAACATATAGAAATTCATTGTCAGAAATTTAACAGGTTTTAACATTTTTATTAACATAAGGCTTTATATTGATAGCTTCCTTGTGATTCCTTAGGAAAAAAACTAACTTTTATAAAAATCTTGCCATTCTTTTATCTTGCATCTAAAAAATAAAACTAAATGTGCATATAAGTCATGGCACTTCTGGTGCTTTCTTCAGCTAATATTAATTTAAAAAAATGTTTCAGTGCAGGACAGTGTTTATCCTGCCTAGACAGATGGAAAGGGACACATTGCCTATTTAGGAAAGCTCACTTAAATGGCATCAGCTCCTGAGCCAGGCTTACAGGAGAGTTTTCATGCACATACAAAGATCCCAGATGCTGGTGTGACTGGTCACGTGACTACTGGCAGGCTGCGGGTGGGCCCTGAGCATAAGTCAATCAGGAGGGATGGAAAGTTACTCTTCCTGTACCTCTGTTTAGCCTGCTCTGACTTCCCTTAGGAGAGATGCTTTATACAACTGTATCCTTTCAGGACACGGTTTGATGCAGAGAGGCACATAGAGAAGGATTTTCTTCTTGCATAAAGATTGATTTTATTTGTGGTATTTCTGTCTCACCATCATATTTTTTTTTGATATTTTAAGCAACTAATTGGAAATGCCTTCCTTATTTTAATAAACATCTTTTAAGATAATAGGTTTCAAATGTATGGTTTGGGGGATTTAGTAATTTAATTTTCTAAAATCTAAAATTTTGAAAATCTCATAAAATCTTAAAAATTGGTTCATTGTGGGAAAATTTCCTGAAAGCTTTTGCTTTGTTTCATTTTTTTCTGGTGACATAACAGACAAGCCACGGCACCACCGCCAAGTGTCTTGATATTCCTAAATGTAGGGACTTGTTCAGCTCTAACCGCTTTGTCAGTCTTTTTTTTTTTTTTATATGTCAGAGCCTCAAAAACATGGGGAAAATCATTACTTGTATCAGTGTAATTTAGTTTGTACCCTGGAAATATTCCTGAAGAGCTGTGACTGCTGCCAGCAGAGCAGTTTCCTCTCAAGTCCCTGCAGCAGATGGAACTTGGTTGTTGCAGTAGCCCAGATAGGAGTGAGCCAGGATGGAGCACAGGTAGGAACTGAGAGCCCAGTGTGACTCAGGACGGTCCAGACAAGATGGGGTAGCCTGCCCCAGGCACTTGGACACCTGGAGGTTCAGAAGACTTGCAGAGAAGTGTGAGGTGGGAGTGTAATGGTAACTGAGGACTTGTGGGTCATGTGTACATAACTCTTAGAGTCGAGAGTTTGCTTGCTCCTTTAAGAATTGTGAGTTTTTAAATATAGTTTGTTCTTCCTCAGACTGAAATCTCTTTAATTCATCAAGCAGTTAGTTAGCTTATTATGTATTAGGTTTTATATTTCTTTTTATTTTACATGTTTCTTTGCACGTGTTTATAGTCTTTCCTTTCCCTTTTTACTAAATGACATCTTAAAGTATATTAAACAGCAATTATACAGGTTTAATGCTAATTAGTTCTTATTCACAATAGTTTTATACCAAATAAGCATATGTAATATAACTGAGTATATCAAACTTAGGCTTAGGTTTTAAAATTTATAACTGTAAAGACTCAAGGGTAAAGTAGTATATGGAATGTCATAATGTCCTTGCTTACATGTCTGGAATTGTCTAAACTTCGTTGATTCAGCCCTCTGCTGTAATGTGGGCATGTTAATATTTATTTCATTTAATCAAAGATTTTCTGTTCTATTACTATGAAGAGACACCATAACCAAGACAATTCTTATAAAAAGAAAATATTTAATTTGGGGCTTGTTTATAGTTTCAAAGTGTTAATCCATTATTATTAGGGCAGGGAGCATGGTGGCAGGCAGACAAGACAAGGGGCTCAGAGCTTACATCCTGACCTACAGGTAGGCAGGCAGACAGAGACACTGGGACTGGTGGAGGCTTTTGAAACCCCAAAGCCCACCCCATTGACACACCTAGAACAATACCACACTTTCCTATCATTCCTGAACAGTTTACTGACTGGGAACCAAGCATGCAAATATATGGGCCTATGGTAGCCTTTCTCATTCAAACCACCACAAGGATTACATGAGAATATGTCCATGAAGCATATACAAACATACTTAAAGCAAGTGTAAAATAGCCAGTAAATAAGTATGCTTAGTAATGATCTTTTGTGCAGAAAAGCAATAGAGTTAATAATAATGTATTTCAAAACAGCTAAAAGAATGGACTTTAAATGGATAAGTTAATTAGCCTTGTTTGGTGAGTGGATATATATATATATATATATATATATATATATATATATACTCTCTCTCTCTCTCTATATATATATATATACTCTACCTTATAATATATATCTCCAATCTACCTTATAAAGTTATAGTTATTACTTATATATTAAAACTTTAAAATGATTAAAACAAGTGTCTGAGGACAGTATAGTAAAAGCAATAGTTTTTTTGTTGTTGGTTTTTTGGGGTTTGTGGGGTTTTTTTGGTTTTTTGAAACAGGGTTTCTCTGTAGCTTTGGAGCCTGTCCTAGAACTAGCTCTTGTAGACCAGGCTGGTCTCGAACTCACAGAGATCCACCTGCCTCTGCCTTCCAAGTTGGGATTAAAGGCGTGCGCCACCACTGCCTGGCAAAAGCATCAGTTTTTAACTAGCCATATAAGTAGTCTTTTATTTAGACTATTTACTTTGTTACCAGTATTCTCCAATATAAATTCTGTGAAGAGCTTGCCCTTGAAAAAGTCGATCTTGTTGAAGGTGTAAAATAATGAAGCTGACTGATGAAATGAATATCTCACCACTTGACTTGCAGTGAATGTCCTCATGCCCTTATGACACCCACAAGCTCATGTGATTAACCATGTCACCTGTGGCACAGTTCTTTAGAGATTCTGCACTGTCCAGGCTTTGTGTATTTTTAACAACTCTGTCATCTGCAGGAGGCAGGTCTAAGCTGTGAACTGACAAGCTAGTGAATGCCCTCCACACAGAAGCACCTTACATGTTATTTAAAGGTTCTTTCATGAATAAAAAGAGTATACCTCGAGAATACTTGATGGAAGGGCCACCTTTTCTAATTTACATGAAGTTGTGGGTCAGGGCTCTGCACACCAGTGTTTGAGACTTTCTAGTTTCACTGCTTTGTGATTTCAAGTGCTTTGGTGTCCTCCAAACTTGAGTTTTAGAGTGTAGTACATTTGTTGAACCCTTCTTTCAGAGTTAGGACAGGCTTTAGAAAGAGGCTTCTGTTATAAAGGAATAGGTGACAATGTTCTTCCTACTCCTCTGAAGAGAGGAGCTGAGCTGTCAGAAGTGGGGAAACAGGATTAATTCTTGAGTCACTTTATGTAGCAGAGGTTGAACGATGCTTCTCTTCACTCCCATCAGTGTGTGGAGAAATAGAAGCCAATGAGTACAGTTTTCCTTTCTCCCACACAGCAATGGGAAAAGGAGCTTAAAAGTCAGTTTGTTGATATTACATTGTTAATACACTCCTACTACCTTTCTTCTCTAATATTTAGTTTTAGAACTTGAAACAACCAAAATACATGCATCCCTGGACCATTATTTTTATTAAGTACAGCAGTTGTGTCCTAAAAGCTCACTGGCCTGTATGAGACTATTGTCTGTCTTTGAAGAAGCCAGCATATTATAATACAAAGGCAGAGGCCTCTGTATTACTAAAATTCCTCCTTCTAGCCAAGAAATAGTCTCAGACATTTTCCAGTAATGATCTCATACACAATTTGCAGCCCCCTGTATAAGTGCCAATTCTGTTGGAGAAACTATAGTAAAATTGTCAGTGTCTAAGCATCTTCATGGTGATTCTCCTATGTGTATGTATAAGTTTATGGAACAAAACAGCAACATTCATAAGACCACTCCTGTTTCTAAATGACCTGTTTACACAGTAGTCAATAAATAAGTATACACAACAGACTGTTTTCTAAATGACACACACACAGTATTTGAAAAATGTGGGAATTTTTGTGGTCATCTGAAAATTCGTAGACTGGTAATAAGTAGCATTAACTGACAAGGTCCAATTAGTTCCCATAAGCATGGTTTCCAGAGCTTCTGGAGTTCTGTTAGTGAGAAGACATGGAGTGCCATCTTGTTATCTGAACAGTTAATACTTTGTTATGTTGATGCCTTTTCCTTTTGAGTAGTTAAAAGTAGCAGAGTGCTTTTTGGCACTCTATGCAAGACCAGCTCAGTATTGCAAAATAATTATTGAATGCATACATACACGTGCACGCACACACATGCTTGAATATATACTTGCCATACATGCATGCATACATGCTCACATTCATAAACTGTTTCATCATCTGCTTACTCTTAAGTACACATGATGGGAGGCCATATTTTTAATCCATATTTCTAGTATCTCATCCTCTTTATTCTTAAATATTAAGAACAATATTTCTTTTTTTTTTTTTTTTTTTTTTTTGGTTTTTCGAGACAGGGTTTCTCTGTGGCTTTGGAGCCTGTCCTGGAACTAAAGTTTCCGCCTCCTCCCAGCCTCCCACTCCTCCCCCCTCCCCCTACTCCTCTCCCCCTCCCCCACTCCTCTCCCCCTCCCCCACTCCTCTCCCCCTCCCTCTCAAGTCTGAAAAGCAGTCAGGGTTCTCTGCCCTGTGGAAAGTCCAAAGTCCTCCCCCCTCCATCCTGGTCTAGGAAGGTGAACATCCAAACTGGCTAGGCTCCCACAAAGCCAGAACATGTAGTAGGATCAAAACCCAGTGCCATTGTCCTTGGCTTCTCAGCAGCCCTCATTGTCCGCCATATTCAGAGAGTCCGGTTTTATCCCCTGCTTTTTCAGTCACAGTCCAGCTGGCCTTGGTGAGCTCCCAATAGATCAGCCCCACTGTCTCCATGGGTGGGTGCACCCCTCTTGGTCCTGACT